TGGATCAAGAAAAGACTCAGTATCTATACATGCTACACATATACAAATGCTATAGATCAAGATGGGTAGCTGTGTTAATCTGTCTGTAGCAGCAGAAAAGACCAAGAGCCCAGTAGCACCTTAAAAACTAACAAAATTTGTGGTAGGCGATGAACTTCCATGAGTCACTGCTCGCTTCTTCAGATACCTTCTTCTGTATCGGAAGAAGTGAGCAGCGACCATATGCAAATGTGTGTATACACCACCACACAGTTCCACACGTGGCTGACAATTTCTAAATCAACTGCTAAACTTACTACCCACAATCCAACAGAGAGTTAGCGATGCATTAAGCTATTTTATTCTGATGGATTTAAGTACGGTCTTTTGGCTCTGTAGCTACAAGATTTTTATTTGAAGCATTTAATTATTATTATTATTATTATTATTATTATTATTATTATTATTATTAGTTCAGTTAGTAGTTCTTTTTTCTTTTTTAATCGATCAGATATTTCCATGAGCTAGAAAAGCAGAATCTAGGATTACAGTGTAGAAATATTTGTGTGCCTTGTTTGTAATTCTGACATTTTTCCTACCGTTCTCAATGCTAAGCGAGCACGGGTCCTCAAAATTCTGTTTGATGTTGGGACACACAGCCTGAGTTTTCCAGGTGTTTGCAAATGCAGGTGCTGTTCCTTCCACCACACCACTTATGGCTTTGAAGTCATCTGTCTGACGGCTGTCAAAGTTTCCACAGAGGCCTTTGGGGGGAGAAAAAAAAACCCAACCACCAAAGAATTTGAATTGCTCAGGAAATTGCTAATGGCATTCTGCACTCATATTATTATTATTAATATTTTCAGTTAGTAGTTCTTTTTTAATCTATCAGATATTTCCATGAGCTAGAAAAGCAGAATCTAGGATTACAGTGTAGAAATATTTGTGTGCCTTGTTTGTAATTCTAACATTTTTCCTACCGTTCTCAATGCTAAGCGAGCACGGGTCCTCAAAATTCTGTTTGATGTTGGGACACACAGCCTGAGTTTTCCATGTGTTTGCAAATGCAGGTGCTGTTCCTTCCACCACACCACTTATGGCTTTGAAGTCATCTGTCTGACGGCTGTCAAAGTTTCCACAGAGGCCTTTGGGGGGAGAAAAAAAAACCCAACCACCAAAGAATTTGAATTGCTCAGGAAATTGCTAATGGCATTCTGCACTCAGACATGTCACCATTTCTATTTTTAAAATACTTCTTACCAGGGCTTTTTTGGTAGGAAAAGCCCAGCAGGAACTCATTAGCATAAAAGGCCACTCCCAACACCAGGAACTCATTAGCATATTAGGCCACACCCCTGACAGTGCAGCTAATTAGCCTGTTAGGCCACACCCCATGCCTTCCCTTGGCTTGCCCGGGCGCCCCGTAGCTGCAGGGAGCCAGGACAAGCCGACCCTTGGACAGGCCAGGGAAGGCACGGGGAGGCATTTAAATGCCTCCCCGATCCTTCCAGGGCCCCCCCAGCTTGCCCGCCTCGGACTCACCGGGGGGGGTCGCTCTCCAGGCCTTCCCTCCATAGCCACGCACACAGAGGTTTTGGCTGTACTGGGCGTGGCCAACTCTGAAGCCAACCAGAACTCCGTTCCTGTGCGTTCCTGCCCCCAAAATAGCCCTGCTTCTTACCACAAGTCTTCCCTTTAAAAGAGGGATCCAAACGAGCAAAGAGTTGCATGATGGGTGTGAGCTGGATCTCCAGCTGAAGGCCCATGTTTGTTTCCACCATGATGAAGAAAGATGAAGGTCTGAAGATGGTCACGTTAGCTGTGGATAAAGAATACATTGGAACCATTCTCATGAGATGCATGGCTATATCCATCATTAATTCTTCAAGACAGGAGGAATAAAATCTCTGAAAACACCAATTAACAAAATTGGCAGGTTAAGTATGTTGGTTGTGTGGATGTGTGTAAGTTGACTGGATATGTGCAAAGTATGATACATGCTGGAATAGTTGTTCAATTACTTCTAGCATGTGCCCAGTCCCTGACCCACTTCCAGTTGTTTGAGTAAGGTGTTATCCTCTCAATGAATGAGAGGCCTTTCTTTATCTTAACCTGGCAAACTCCTCCTTCTCTTCCTGTGCTTTTTGTGTGTGTCTCTCTCCCCTTGGCTTTGCAAGGAGCATGATAAATCTACAGGTCTCTCCTGCAGACGCAATGCAGTCTTACTTGCACACGTATGATGCCAAAGTAGCTGGCCACTTATAATAGGAAACAGTACTGTTTAGATGAGGCTTCTCTCACACTCCTTTTGACTGCAATATGGGTGTGAATTGAATCTGTCTCAATACATGTAAATTCTAACATTTTGGCAATATACTTCTTTGGAGTTTATTTACTGCACACAGTACCACAATTTTATGACTATGCAACTTTGCTATATTAACTAATACGTATCCCCAGTACCAATTACCTAAAGTGATACAAGCACACCAAATATTGCAAGGATATGCTCACTTCATATCTATAATATGCCATTTTGCTCATGTGAACTGGCACTGAAATGAACAACAAAACTGTAACATATTATGAATAATTCTGTACCAGCCTCTTTTTCCCCCCCCTCCCCAGAAGAGACAGTTTAGTCGGGAAAAATAGACAACTATTAAATATAATCTTACTACTTGTAGGAAAGCAGCCATGATGCTCAATTCCTCTTTGAAATGTTTAAGGCTGCACTGCCAGCCGGAAATTTCTGATGTGCAACATACCTGCTGAGATAGGCAGCTGAGTGTAGATCCAGTTGACAAACACAGCGCCACCAGGTTTCACCACAATGGTCTAGTGAAAAAGAGCAAAGTTGTGATCATGAGTATGACAATAAATCACGTAATCAAATCGTCCACTGGTCAAAGTAGAAAATTGATATCCTCGGTTCAGTTCTGAAAAATATCCCTTGGGAAATGTTTGCTTTTATGATTTAAAATCTTAGCCTTGTTGTCTTTGTTTCTCCTTACAAAGTAATTGTTTTGTTGACTCATTCTTCCAACCATTTAAGACCTATTTTGTGTTCATTCTCTTATTTATCTTTTGCAGAAATTGTCCTCTTGTTTTATACTGAATTTTCTGAGTGGATTGCCATTCTGAATGCCAATGTCTCCTTAACACATTAAGCAAGATAAGAAATACTTCTAGGATACTTTCTTGATGAGTTGAATCCTCTGAATTGTGAGTGTGAGGCAGTTTGTAGAGGTAGATCTTCCCTGCTTTCCCACAGCATTACCATGTGACCACTGAAAAGTAATGCTGAGAGTTGGGGGAACTTTGTGGACAAAGGCACATGGTAACTGTGGTGAGAAGGGGGAACTAGGCAAAATGAGTCCTTCTCCTGTGCTAGAGGTTTTAGGGTTGCCAACTCTGGCCTGGGGAATTTGTGGATATTTGGGTAGGGTTGCTAGGTCCATTGGACCTGTGGGCGGGGGTACACTTACCAGGAGCGTGGAGGGAAAAAGCCGGAAATAAACGCAATGTGCCTACGTCACCTGGAAGTGATGTAGGCACATTGGGGATGTTGCTCTGTTTTTTGGGCAAAGCTCTATGGTAGAATTAGCTTCTAACCATAGAGTTTTGCCCAAAAACCAGAGCATCCCCCCCCCTTGATGTCACCAATGTGCCTATGTCACTTCTGGGTGACGTAGAAGGGTTGCCAGGTCTGGGTTGGAAAATACCTGGAGACTTTGGGGGTGGGTCTGGGAGAGGGTGGGGTTTTGGGAGGGGAGGGGCATCAGCATGGTACAATGCCAGAGAGTCCGCCTGTCAAAGCAGCCGTTTTCTCCAGGGGGGCTGATCTCTGTCAGCTGGAGATCAGTTGTAAAAGCGGGAGATCTCCAGGCCCCACCTGGAGGCTGGCAACATTATGATGCAGACACATCATGTTTATTTCCAGCTTCTTCCCTCCTCGCAGGGTACATGGGGGGGGGTGGAGAGGAGTGTCTGAAACTGGGGGACCTCTGCCCTACTGGAGGACTAGCAACTCTAGATTTGGGGCAGTGCCCATGAATGGACAAATTTGAGGAGAGAATTCAACTACAGTCTATGGTATAGCATGCTTTACCCTCTGATGCTGCCATTTGCTCCAGACGAAATGGTCTCTGTAGTCTGGAGATCAGTTGTAAATTATGGGAGAAGTAGGGTTGCCAAGTCCGGTGTTGCACCGCAGCGGGGGACTCCCGGCTGGTGGCTGGAGCGCGAGTGCACCGCACGCCACCCGGAAGTGACGTGACGACGCCGGGCATGCTGGGGGCGGGGCCACGACCATCCGAGGGAAAACCATAGAGTTTTCCCTCAATGGCAAGCCTAGGGACAAGTCAAGGGCCCACCTGGAGGTTGCCAATACTACTGGGCCCAGCACATTTTTTAAAGAAATAACACTGGCAGTAAAAGTTTCTAATTAAACTAAACACTTAGAAAGCCTAAATGTCAAACATATACTGAATACCATGGAACCAACTTTAGTCTGGGACAAATCAAAGCATAAAACAACTCTGCCCAGCACAATTTGGTTACTTACAGTTAGGCCTCCATTGATGCTGAGGGCGACCATCTTTAAACATGTTTCCGTGTCTGTTAGGCCACACTTTCGGAGTTCGCCCAGAACAGTAAAAGTTTCTTCATCACAGACCTGGGGAGAAAATAAAACCTAATTAACATGTGCTTAAGCTTATAACAGGAGAGCCTAGAGTGGAATACGGTGCTCAGAAATAATTGTGGAGGTACAATCTAACTTTCTTTACCAAAGGAGGCCATTTAGACACATGACTTGGCTTATTGTAGAGGGATTGTAGTTTATCTGTTCAAATGGGTTTTTAAAAAGGAAATCCTTGAATCCTCTACGATGTAGAAAGCTCCATTTCATATTCCTGTGTCATTTCTTCCTCTAATCCCCATCATTTGCTTTCTCAAACAGTTTTGTGCACTGAAATACCTAAATGCTGAATGTGATAAGCTTCTTACAAAATAAACCCGGGAACCCTTCCGGTTCCTTTCATTAGTGGCTACAAACTTTTATTTTGATTGCTTTCCCCCCATACAACTTGGTTATCAGAGCCGTGCCATTGTAAATGTGTTACATGTAATATCCTGTGATTCTTTTAAAAAGCACTGTGCTACAGCACTTTTCAGTAGTGTGCTTTATGGTGGCTTTACGGCAATTTTGCAGCACCACCACTAAGCAAATTGTGTTGCTGCAGGAGTTGCTAGTGCTATTGATATGATCATCTCAAGGTCCCAAGGCAAAGCTGAGATATAATAGATGTCTGTTTGTACTAGTTTGTGTTTTCCCAGTCTTCTAGATTGTTTCTGAAAACAAATAGTTTCCGGTTATAAATATCAGAGACTGTGCCTCTGTCACAACGTATCTGTTGAATATTTTATTAAGTTAGAGCAAAATTGCTAATATTCCCGGAGATAACAATTTGTGTGTTCTTCCCCACCCCCAAAGTATTTCTTGTGAGCTTGCTTCTGTACATATTTATAAGGACACCGATGCATCGTGATGAAAGGTACAATGATTCCAAAGCAGGGAGGAAGGATCGGCGATATTTAAAACTTAGAATCAGGAACTGAACAAAATCCAGTGATGTGATATCCAAAGCAAAGGGTTTGCTTCGAGAACAATTGCTGTGGTTTTATAATCCCAGTAAGAGAAGCTTTAGTGTGGAGAAAACAAATATTTTACTAATTTCTATGAAGATTAAATCCTGGCTACTTGCCTTAGAGAGAACATAAGTACAGTCTCCATGCACGTCATAACGCTTTTCATCATAAGTGGAGATGTGTGATCCACCTTCTACAGAGCAAATGCCTGGGCAGGGCATCTCTGTGCAGCTCCACTGGCCTCCACTGCAAGAACTGGGAGGAGAGGGAAGAAAAGGAATCCAAGTGAAGTCCCATCTGTTTTTAGGAAAGGTGATCCAGCTGGCATTAGCTTCTATTGTTTTTCTATTATTCTATCCTTTGTTATCTTATGCAGAAATAAACATTGTTAAAGCATAAGAATAGGTGCTTATTTTTGTTAAAAGGGTCAACACTTTGCATTTTAGGAAGAATTCTAGCAATGGTTGTGTGCAGACAGGCAGGTTGCCGTGGCAATATCCCACGGAGAAAAAAGCCACTGGAGTTAAGTGCGCTTCACAGCATTCATGCTGGTCCCACAACACCGGCCGCATTGGGTAGCCAGCCCGTGCGGGCCGGTTCACATCGCCACCTTGCCACCACCACGGAGCCATGGCTGATGCGCCCCTCTGATTGGTGGGTTGCTGAAAACGGCGTACTGCCGCGCCGGAAATGGGAGGGGCAGTCACACAGCTCCTGCGCTTCCGTGGCGCGCCCGCACATTCAGATGCCGGAAGAGGCAATATAGAAGCGCCTCACCGGGGAAACCACCAAATTTTCCCGGTGGCTGTTTAAGGTGTATGGGAGTCGTTTTGCAACGTGGTAGGGACGGGTGGCTGCCGAGTGCCAGATGTGTGTGTCTGATCCTTCCGATTTGATCCGGGGTGGGGTGTGTGGCTATGTCGGACAAACTGCCTGTGTGATCACTACCAATAACACTACAACATTTTAATGCTGAAATGATGAATAAAGGCTAGAGTTTAGTCTGTACTAAATACAAGTTCATTCAGTCGAAGGACGTAGATTACCAGGACCGGCAGTGGTCTGAATAAGTTGTCCCCGGAGCATAGGTTTTGCCATTGTAAACGCAGGAACACTCCTGAATGAGGATGCAGCCAGAGCCATTGATGTCATCATATACTGTCCCTAAAAGAACAAATAATATATAGAATATAACGAATATTTAACACAGCTGAAGAAATGACAAATGACAGTAAGTTACATAAATCAGTCTCGGCCAGGGCTCTTTTTGTAGAAAAAGCCCAGCAGGAACTCATTAGCATAATAGGCCACACCCAACAGCAGGAACTCATTAGCATATTGGGTCACACCCCTGACAGCACAGCTCATTAGCACATGTTACCAGAAGTGTGGTTATCCAGCCACACCCACCTTTTGCTTGTTATTCTGTTTACCTTGCTTGTTGTCAAAACCCAGGGCCTTTTTTTGTAGCAGGAACTCCTTTGCATGTTAGGCCACACACCCCTAATGTAGCCAGTCCTGATGAGTTTCTGCTGTTGGGTGTGGCCTATTATGCTAATGAGGTTCCTGCTGGGCGAGGCCAACTTGGGAGCCAGCCGGAACTCTGTTCCTGTGCGTTCCTGCCCAAAAATAGCCCTGAGTCTCACATCGAGATCTGCAGCAGATGTAAAATACGCTCTGCTTCCCCAAGGGACAAGCCATTTGCACTAATATTTTAATTAATATTTGAAGCACAATTTTTGAATTTAAGGAGGTCTTTCTGCCTGCATGGTGAAAGCCATAAAGGGATTGTTTGCCGTTAAGATCAGTGACCCCTCACAAGAGCGAGTGTATGGAATGTTTCAACCACTGCAAAAAATTTTAAGCCCCCGGAGGGGATTTTTTTATTTTTTTTATATCACTACAAAAACTACAACAGAAAAGAGGGAGGGAAAACTACATTTACGGGATAAAGCAAAGAACCCACTACTAACGAAAATCCCAAGAGGGGAGATCCTCCAACTAGCTTAGTTACATTCAATCGTCCATCATTTATAACATTATAAATTGAGTTGAAAGAACCAGAATGGTCCTTTGGGGATAGGGTGAAGAGGAAAGCTTACCTGCAGGACAGAAGCAGCCATCCAAACAGTGGTCTTCACAGAGCTGAGATCTTTCAGAGTTGGTGCAAGTGTCAGCACAAGGGGATCCACATTCTTGATAGTGCATGTTGAAAGGACATGTCTTTGCTAGAAGGGTGGATATAGGGCGGATATAGATTCAAATTTAGTCATTTGGTATATACTACATCGTCTTCTTAAGACAACAAAAGAGAATAGAAAAGAAAAAGAAAAGAAAGCCTGATCATGCGTCAGTGTTAGTAGAATGGGGTACTGTTATCTTCTATCTATTGGACAGAATATGCCAGTATATGCAGCTCTCGATTGGTATCTGCCTTGTTACATAACCGTATACAACTAATAGGGTTGTCAAGTCTCCTGCTATACCAGCAACCTTTCTTGCCTGCTGCTGGTCTGGCAGTATCCCACGGAGAAAAAAGCCACTGGAGTTAGGTGCGCTTCACAGCATTCACACTGGTCCCGCAACACTGGCCGCATTGGGTAGCCGGCCCGTGCAGGCCGGTTCACATCGCTACCTTGCCACCAACGCGGAGCCATGGCTGATGCGCCCCTCTGATTGGTGGGTTGCTGAAAACTGCTGTCAGTGTGATGGCATCACATCACTTTTTGGGGGGGGGAAGTGATGTCATTTCCAGCAAATCCTAGAAAGTCATGAGGGAGCCACAGGGTTTCCCCCCTAAAATGAAATAACACCATTATGACAATGATGTGTCCCTGCCCCCCCCCCCGGACTCCCATTGCCTAGTCTTGAATGATTACTATTTTAGTGGGGGGGTTAAAATAATTCTTGGGACTTTTTCACTTTGGTAAAGGAGGCCTTAAGAACCTGGGACTCACCACATGCTTAATGTGGCCTGCCATATACATAACGCTCCATGTGTCCTGGATTTTGGGGGTGGAGCCTAAGGAGGGCGGGGCTTGGAGAGGGGAGGGAGCAGTATCATGCTCTAGGGTCCACCTTCCACCTTCCAAAGTGACCATTTTCTCCAGGTCTGTCTCCTGGAGATCACTCACAATAGCAGGAGATCTCCAGCCACAAGATGGCTCCACTGCTGGACCTCCTGATGGCACCTGGTATTTTGGGCCACTGTGTGACAGAGTGTTGGACTGGATGGGCCTTTGGCCTGATCCAACATTGGCGTCTCTTATATTCTTAGATGGAGACTGGCAACCCTCACTACTCACCACACACACAAAGGGTAAAAGGAATTGGAACCGACTGTGTGCTAAACACAATGTGGTTGGTTAATGCCAGATTATTGCCTCCCAACTCCAATTTAAACAGGCAGTCGTTTCCACAAGCCG